CAGGTGTCATAAACCCTTTATGGCTCCAGAAAGTCTGCTTCCCATGAGAATTTGGAATTCTGATTTGCATTTTCCCCCTTTTGATCAAGATCTTATGTAGAATCTTTTATCCAAATGTTCAATAATGGTCACTGGGAATCATCAATTTCTTCTGTTCTCATGGAAAAGGAAGCAGTTGTTCATGGAGGCAGTTAGGCACATTTTCCATTTTCTCCTTCTATCCCTCATTCTCCTTCTTCCTGTGTTATTCCAGATAAATAGAGACCAATTGTTGTGCTTTGGAAGGCTGCTTGCAAGCTTTTAAGACCCCAGGCACTAAACAGGAACTAGGAGCTAGAATAGAAGCACTAAACACGTTATTAGGCCAATTAATTGGAATGTGCCATGAAACAATGTCCGTAAACTTCCACAGAACCAAATTCCATGAGGTTTTTGGTTGTACATAAGCAAGCTCATTAACTACTCTCTCTCTCTCTCTCTTTTTTTATCATTGTTGTAAATATATCTATCACACAATTTTTGCCAGTTAAACTGTTTATAGGTATGTGACTTATTGACAGCACTTACAATAATTGGCTGTGCAACCTTACCCTTAATTAATGTGATTTTTTTCCATCACCATTAACTTCCTTTTACCCCCTTCTTGTCACCCTTGGTTACTACTAACAAACTTTGGTCTCTCTGCATTTGTCTTTTCTTGTCATTTTATATAAGTGAGATCATAAAATATTTGTCCTTTGGGGATTGGCTCATTTCACTCAGCATAATTTATTCAGGCTCCATCCATACTGTATGTAGCATGTATCAAGATTTCATTTATTCTCAAAACTCACTGCCGTCGAGTTGATTGACTCATAGTGACCCCTTCTTGGGTTTCTGAGGTGGTATCTCTATGGAAGTTGCCCAATCTTCCTTCCAAGGAGTGGCTGGTGGGTTTGAACCACCAGCCTTCTGGTTAGTGTTTAGATGCCTTAGGCACTACACCACCAGAGCTCGCTGAATAATATTCTATGGTATTTATATACTATATTTTGTTATCCACTCATTTGTTGTTGGACTTAATTAATATATATTTCTGTATTCTACTATAGAGAAATTATATATGTGTGTATGTGTATATATAATACCCAAAAGGCACAAATGGTTAAGCACACAACTATGAGCCAAAAGGTTAGAACCCATCAAGGACTGCCACAAAAGACAGGCCTGGCAATCTGCTTCAGAAAGATCACAGCCTTGAAAATCCTGTGGAGCAGTTCTATTCTGCACACATAGGATTGCCTTGTGAATATTCTGACACATAGTCAGAATCGGCTAGATGGCAGCAGACAACAATACATGCACACACACACACAGATGTATATGTGTGTGTATATATATATATACACACACACACATATATATGTATATATATATATGTATATATATGTGTGTGTGTATATATGTATATATGATGCAAGAAAGATGGACATGTATATATCCATTACATCTTTATAGAGAACTGATGGATAGCATATGAGGTGTAGTCATCATTTGTCTGGCCAATTTCCATCCACCTTGTCACTATAAAATGTTTTTTAACAGATACAGATTGTAATACCTGATATGTGTCTATAACAGTGAAATTACTTTATCAATAATATTGATACCAATAATATTGGTTAACAGTAGGACTATAATTAATAAAAATATTTACCTCAAACTACTTATTGTGGCACCTGCTTCTAGAAGTAAAAGATTTCCAGAAATATCATCCTCAATACCTTGACCATTCAAGCTTCTTTACAATCTGCCATCAGAAGTACAAAAAAAAAGCATGGTTTACCTATCTATCTAATAGAAATGTTTAGAAAAACTCAATGCCAACAGTAAAATTGTTAAAAGCCTAGTATCTTCTTTTAGAGAGAACTATTCTTCAAACTCACCATTTTTCAGTTAATTTCTACTAGCAAAGAGTACTTTCAGAAGTTAAAATATGAATATGTTTGTATGTATGTGTGGTTGTTTAATGAGCCTTCTTCCAATCCTGATACTGCATTCTTCTTTATATAATCTAGTTTCTGGAAGTATTTGCTCAGCACACAGATTGAAAGAGTATAGTGAAATGATACAACCCTGACACACACCTTCCCTGATTTAAACCATGCAGTATGCCCTTGTTCTTTTCAAACAACAGCCTCTAGTCAATATGTAGATTTCTCATGAGCACAATTAAGTATTCTGAATTCCCATTCTTCACAATATTATCCATAATTTGTTGTGATCAACACAGTTGAATGCCTTTGCATAGTTAATAAAACATGGGTAAACATTTTTCTAGTACTCTTTGCTTTCAACTAAGATTCATCAGCAATGATATCTCTAGTTCCAAGTCTTCTAAATCTATCTTGAATTTCTGGCAGTTCCTTGTCAATATACTGCTGCAACCATTTTTGAATTGTCACCAAAATTTTACTTGCAGTCAAATGCCTTAGGCATGATGCCACCACACTCCTCAGTAATATTAATGATATTGTTCAATAATTTCTACATTCAGTCTGATCATCTGTCTTTGGAATGGGCACAAATATGGATCTTTTCCAGTCAGTTGGCCAGGTAGCTGTCTTCCAAATTTCTCAGCATAAAAGAATTAGCTCCTCCAGCATGCATTCATTTCTAGAAACATTTCAGTAGGTAGTCTGTTAATACTTGGAA